CATGCACCTTGCTGCAATCAATGGTCGCACCCATTTCGCCGTGGAGATGATGAGGCTAAATCCGTCTTTCGCGAAGAGGTTAAACCCGGACGGGTTTAGCCCCCTCCAACTCGCTTTACAAAATGCACACTTCCAAACAGTGCTTCGGCTGCTAGCTATGGACGGAGACCTAGTTCGTGTGCAAGGAAGAGAAGGTATGTCTCCTCTGCATTACGTAGCCAAACATGGTAATAATCAACTCTTGTCTGCTTTCCTATCTACATGTCCAACAGCCTTGGAAGACGTGACAATTCGCAACCAAACTGCTTTGCATGTTGCTCTGGACAATGATAATGTTGATTGTGTTGAAATCATTCTGAAATGTTACGAGAGATTTCCCCAATCTAGATGGGAAAAGATGCACCTAAATTGGAAAGACGACAATGGAAACACCCCGCTGCATATTGCCACCGCCAGGAAGCAAACCCAAGTAATTAAATTAGTTTCTTCAATTAATTGCATTTAATCTTTTGATTATGGATTCTGATAAATGATTTTACTCGCATATATAAGTAGGTTGTGAGGGCATTGATAGATCGTCAAGCTGACATAAATGCGATAAACTTAGCCGGTTTAACAGCCTTGGCTATCTCAGAGCAGCCAGATGAGCTTGGAAGTGATGAAATCAGTAGTATGCTACATAGTGCCGGTGCATCTGCTGCGATTGTGCTTCCAATAGTGAATACCATTGAGCCTTCCCTCCGGTGAAAATTTTCATTCTGCTAAAAATTGGAGAAATTATTAACTAACTTCCACTTTATAGTGTCTTCCATTCTGCGATTGCCGCTGCATTGCATCATATAGTGTCTTCCACTTCCAAATGACTCTTTCCTTACTTTATTTACCTCTTTAATGATTTTGCATGACTTGGAGGTCAGTGTGGATGAGAGGTTGAAAGCTGCTGCTCAAGGAGGAGATATTGACAAGTTGTACACTCTAATCAGAGAGGATCCACACGTACTAGATCGCATTGATGAGACACCATTTGTTGATACTCCTATGCATGTAGCAGCTTCTTTTGGGAAAACAGAATTTGCGATGGAAACAATGCAGTTGAAACCATCATTTGCTAGGAAGTTAAACCAAGAGGGATTTACGCCTTTGCACCTTGCTTTGCTAAAAAAGCAAACCTTAATGGTATATTCACTTATATTTGCTGACAGTGAACTCATTCGTGTTCATGGGAAGGAGGGCAAAACTCCTCTTCATTATGCAGCAGAACAGGGAAACGTTTATCTTTTAAAAACATTTCTACAACGTTGCCCATCATCTATTGAAGATGTGACAAATCATGAGGATACTGCTTTGCAAATCGCTGTGAAAAATAAGAAATTTGACGCATTTTGTTTACTAGTACTCAGACTTCGAACAGCCGTTGATAAAGGATCAGAAATCAGGGAGTACAAGACTCTGAATTGGCAAAATAACGTTTTTGACACTGCGTTACACATCGCTGTAAAAACTCATCAACCTGAGGTACGTTCTTATTTAATCAACTATACATTTAAGCGTATTTTGATCAATTCATGCGTCAGACCGAAAAAAGAAAATTAACACATGCACCTATCAAATACGTCTGATGGTATGAACTAAAGGTATAGTGATCGCGCCTGACAGTAAATATATCTACTGTACAGTTTAATCCCCCACCACTAAGTTTATTATAAAAGAAAAAATAAATTCTATATAACTAGAGAATTTACAAGAGAAAATTAAAGGTAAAAACCAAATAAATGGGCAATGAGCTAATTTCTTGATCTGACTATATTGGAATATTTTCAGGTAGTTAGAGTGTTAATAGACAACCACGTCGATCTAAATATCAAGAATTCAGAAAGTTTGACTCCTTTGGAAATCTTAGAATCAGACGACTCACAGTCGCAGTCGCAGGTAAACAACCCCGAAGCTCGAGAAGCTATCAAGGAAAGGCTGCGCCGTGCTAGAGCTTCAAAGTTTTTATCTTTTTTCAGGTGGAAATCTTCCAAGTGTTATTTACCTCCAACTGTTAATCTATTGGAACGTTGGTATATAGATATTACACGTGGTAAAAATGGCTTAGCAGAGGAATCACGGAACATGTTGTTGGTAGGTCTTGTTCTGATTGCAACAGTCGGATATCAGTGTGTCCTGAGCCCTCCTGGGGGTGTATGGCAGGCGGACAGGAACAATTCCACTACAACTCATGACAACAAAAGTTCATCTGAGATCCACCATCCAGGAACTGTAGTGATGGGGAATTGGAGTTTTCTCTTCTTCATGTTGTTTAACAGCTTGGCCCTTGCCCTTACAACGCATGCAATATGTTTTCTCGTGATGAAGCCGGAATCTTCATGGTGGTATTTCAATAGGAGTCTTCTGATCACGTTTGGCCCTCTTTGCTATTTAATATCCTTGCAAACAATCTCACCTAATAACACACTCTTTGCCCGTATAATTGTAATACCAACATTAGTCTATATTTTGTTACCTATCGCTCATGCTCGGATCCGGGCAAACTTAAGGTACAAGACTCGGAACTGGCCGATGAGTCCCAGTTCTACACATGGTGTAGCAACATGATTTGATTAAGAACAATGCTAGGCGTTTAGTGCTGTCCCCACTACAAAAGGAAGATCTCACAATAATATAGGCCCCATAATCTCATTGTTTCCCAAAGCATTTTTCTTCGATTAATCTTTGATTAATGTAATACAAAGTTGTTTGGTATAGTGTCGTACAAACTATCTTATACATAATATCATATATATATATATATATATATATAGTATCTTATAGATAATATCATAATATATATATATATATATATATATCTATATTTGATGAACTTGTGTTGTACTTTTTCTTGACATTAGTTAGTTAATTTTACCATAGTAAATTGAGTGTGTTTTATCGCGTGTGTGTGTGTGCGTGGTTGCAATACTGGCCAGTGGACGGCTTGTATCAAAAGTTAAACGGGATCTAAATTCTAATGTGTAAAAACAATCAGAGACACGTTCCTTTGCTGCTTTCTCGTACGACTTATCCTTGTTACGTGTTATTTGTGTTCCATAAACGTTTAAAGATAAGCCTTACGGGAAGTTACTCCTACCATGCATGTTCTACTGTTCTTCGTCAATCTTGTCGCAAATCTGCAATGGGAAGCTGTTCTCCATCGCGCGCCTTAAATTTTATCTTTTTTGTACGACACCTTCTCAATTTTACGAGTTGACAAATTGGTCTTTCAATTTTTAATCTTAAAAATTTATCCTTGAACTTTAAAATTTGTTGCCACGTTGGTCAAGTTCAAAATTAAGATAAAATTTTAAACGGCTTCTTACAGATAGAGTGTTTGATGAGGGTGTTTCTAGTGTTTTTGCATTCAATTGATCCTTATGCACATTCTGAGTGAGAAAATTTTTAAAATTGTGAGTTAATCTATTTGGGGAAAAAATTGCGTCTCTCTCAATTTAAAAAAAAAAAATCGCTCATGATGCATACATGGGACCAATATAGTGCAAAAAAAAAAAAAAAATAGAATTATCCTCATTAAACACTCACGTAAGAGAAATTGTCTAAAATTTTAACTTTATTTTCAATTTGACCAATATTGCAGTGAATTTTAAAGTTTAAGGTAAACTACAAAAATTAAATGTTGAGAGACCATTTCGTCAGATTTGTACCATTGAGTAGGTGTCTGTACAAAATAGCCTCAAATTTTTAACACGGATAAAATTCCCTTTGTAATTTTTTTTTCATTACTTTTAATACGATATGATACGTAAAAAAATTAATCTAACGGTAAGGTAAAAATACCTTCCCTACCATAAAAACTGCATTTCTATTTTTTTCATTACTTTTTTATTAATGCTTTGTCTCCAATTTCATGTATAATATCTAAATTTTTTTCTTTTTGTATTTTTCATTTTTATCATATTTATTATTTTTCAACAATTTTTTGATATTATTTTTTAATTTCAAAATTGATCCCCAATCAGAAATTGCTTTAGCTAGCCAAGTGCCATTTCTGGTTTCCTCGTATTTCCAATCATGTTTTCATCACACATCCAAATACAATTTCAAACTTTATTTCTTATTCGAACTTATATTTTATATGCATATCCAAACGCGAGTCTAGACTGGCTTCACCTTCCAACCATGCCCCCACTTGCATATTTCTGGGCCTGCTCCTTGGAAGACTTTTAGGAACAATCCTTGCAAGACTTTTGACTCCAAAATGTATGTCATATTTTACTTTTTATTTCTATATGATTATTACTAATTACTTTAATTGATTAAGAGCCCGTTTAGTTCGCTGATTCGAGTTTTTAATTCGAGTTGATATGTGACTTTATGTGAGAACTTTTTACTGTAGTAAAAAAATTAAATATGACTGTTTTTTAGAGCTTTCAACCTTAGCAAAACTCAAATTCTAATATAACTCTCTTTTTGTCTGGCTCGTGGTTATTATTTTAACCTGGTTAAAATCACATAAATTGAAAAATGATTGGGTTTGATTTCCTTTCCGCCCAAGAAACTTGACCCTCTTTAAAAGAAATCCCACTAACCCGCAAATTTAGGATATGAGCACACTTCAAGAATAATTTAAGGAAATGAGTTCATGTTTGCTTAGCATCTTAGGATTATTATAGAATTAGTGGCACGTGATGTTATGCATATTTTGTGCTGTAGCTAGATTAACTGTGGAACTCTAATATAATTAGTTAAATAATATCCAATAATTCGAGAGTAGGGACTAAAGCGTCATTTTAGGTTTATAGTTCGCTCAGACAAAAAGAGAATCCGTACATGCAGGTATTAATTAATTAGAATTAATGACAGACTACTTTCTTAGAAACATCCACGAAGTTCCCAACATCCAAAGTCCATATAATTTGTTGTTTTAAAAGGGAAGCCAGTTCTGCCTCTCTCCTTATAGTTCCTCATCCTTTTCCACATTGCTGTGACCTTTTCTCAGATCTCAAATGGATGCTAAGTTGATAGCGGCTTCCCTCGAAGGCAAAATCGATGACTTCTATGACTTAATTCGAGAGTGTCCCAATATTCTCGAAGAAGTCGATAAGATGTTGGTTGATAACCCCATGCACCTTGCGGCAATCAATGGTCACACCCATTTCGCCGTGGAGATGATGAGGCTAAATCCGTCATTCGCGAAGAGGTTAAACCCGGACGGGTTTAGTCCCCTCCAACTCGCTTTACAAAACGACCGCATCCAAACAGTGCTTCGGCTGCTTGCAATGGACCGAGACCTGGTTCGTGTACAAGGAAGAGAAGATATGTCTCCTCTGCATTACGTAGCCAAACATGGTAATAATCAACTCTTGTCTGCTTCCCTATCTACATGTCCAGCAGCCTTGGAGGACGTGACAATTCGCAACCAAACTGCTTTGCATGTTGCTCTGGACAATGATAATGTTGATTGTGTTGAAATCATTCTGAAATGTTACGAGAGATTTCCCCAATCTAGATGGGAAAAGATGCACCTAAATTGGAAAGACGACAATGGAAACACCCCGCTGCATATTGCCACCGCCAGGAAGCAAACCCAAGTAATTAAATTAGTTTCTTCAATTAATTGCATTTAATCTTTTGATTATGGATTCTGATAAATGATTTTACTCGCATATATAAGTAGGTTGTGAGGGCATTGATAGATCGTCAAGTTGACATAAATGCGATAAACTTAGCAGGTTTAACAGCCTTGGCTATCTCAGAGCAGCCAGATGAGGATGGAAATGAAGAAATCAGTAGTATGCTACGTAGTGCCGGTGCATGTGCTGAGATTGTGCTTACAATAGTGAATACCATTGAGCCTTCCGTCAGGTGAAAATTTTCATTCCACTAAAAATTGGAGAATTTATTAACTAACTTCCCTAATCTCTAGCTTTTTCACATACCAATTAACATAGTGAGTGTAATTACGCCTAGTTTAGAGTAAGATATATATAATCGAGTTAAAAATTAATTATTACACAGTCGTTTCGAATATATGCAGGTATTATTGTGACGACCCTAACTTTTGGTCATCATCCTATGCTCATATTTACCATTTCTTAACCTCTATGACGACCCTAATTATAACTTCTTAAAATTTCAGGCCATTTTTTTTCATTCTTACCATGTACGTTAAAATGCTGAAGCATTCTGACAGCATTCTGTTACATTAGTCATCAAAATACATAAAACACTATTTTATTTTACATATAAAGTTCAGCAGCGTTTTCAAAACACATGACGCGTCCACAACCCACTTGCCCACATTCCGCTGCTACACCCTCTCTGCATGCCCAGCTTCAAGTTTCAGGGAGCCGGTGCCTTACCCGTGCTTCCTACAACATGAACAAACTTAATGAGCTTTTGCTCAGCAAGTATCAATATATCATAACAAATGCAATAATTATGCATACCCATATATGCATTCATGTCATATAGCCTAGTACAGAATTCTAAACGACTTTCGTTATGTGTTTCTCATTGTTTTCATTCTTGTTTACGGATACCATATCGTTATATGGAATGGTTTATGTGTTTCATTTTCTTGTCTTTTACTTCTTAGGGCCCTGTCCTGTTGTATCATAGCTCGCATAACCAGTGAGGAGTGGGGTAGCTAACCAATCCAACTCAGTCACGGTTTCATATCTTTCATAGTCTCATAATAACCTTTCCTTTGAAGGCTGGTACAAATAGGACGTTTAGTCTCTTACCGTTTATCAATTTTCTCATTGAAACGGTAACTTTAGTTAAATCTTATGAATTTGTGCATTATTGAGCAT